ATTCTCCAGCCAGCATGGCTGGTTGGGGAATTCTAGGAGTTGAAGTCCACTCATCTTAAAGTGGCCAAGTTTGGACAACACTGCCCTAACAGAAGAACCACTGAGCACTCAGATGCAGCCTACAAAAATTCTGACTTGGGTGTTTGAGTTTTTATTATCGGGCATAGGGGGTAGGGGGTGGGGGCAGAGTAAGGGTGTTGTAGCAAAGAGCCTCTAACATTCTGTGGTGAATGCAAATTGCAATCATATTTAACAGGGAATGTAGATGTGGTTTAGCATAATAGTAATTCAATTCATGAAATCACAGCCTTTCATAAAATAAATGCTTTAAGCACTGTTATGTTTTCCCTGCTATTGTCCAATTCTTACCAAAAATTCTATTCCAAAGCATTTTTCCTTTCTTGTGGAGTTTCTTTGTATTTGATGCCTTTTTAAAATCTCTGGCTGCCTTAATCCAATATTCAAACTCTGATTTATACCATTCAGAATTAAACACGGGCTTCCCTTTTTACTCCAAATATATGGTTTCATAATATATACATAGCAGTTAATGAAATGTATAACAGTATTTAAGTATTAATTTAGGGTGTGCACTGGATTTAGCTAAAGTCTGAATTCTGAGGCAAAGTGGGATAATTTAAGTAGAGCAAAGCAGATTGGTCTAAACCTGCTTTCTGTATCTCTGTGCCAACAAAACTGTGGTCCCAGTCAATTTCTCACGAGTGTCAGCATGCTCCAAATGGCAACACCATGGCAGAAATAGTTTGGATTATTTATCCAGAGGGTGGGCAGGGGGATATTTGGATTCAGTATTGGATGGTTCTGCTCTTTAGTCAGAGTGACCTTTATGAGTAGACCATGATTAAACACCATTGGTCACCCCAGTCACATCATCTGGCACAGCAGACAAGGTCATGTAGGAGGAGGAGGGGGAGTCAAGAAATCCTTAATAGTGCCATTTACTTCACGATATGATCTCATTGTCTCCCACTCTTTCATCCTAAATGCTTTTTAAAGCTCCATTAGCTAGCTAACCTGGCTCAGCCATAGACTGATCTATTTTGGAGACCAATAAATGCCCCAACAACCAGCCCACTCCCAATCTGTTCTCAGAGGGGAGTTGCTGTGCCTAACAGGTAGATAAGGCTTGCTAAGTTTGAACTTACCCTTTTCCTCCTGATCCAAAACTAGTTTCAACCAATAGCCCCAGAGCCAGCTGAGATGGCAAGAGCCTTCCAAAGACCCCAGCATAACAGAGAAGAGCAAAGTCAGAGTACCCACCAGGTCTATGTTCAAGTAATCAATCCTAGAGAAAAAGGCAAGAGTTTTAGCAGCTGAACATAGAATCAGCTCAAGGCCAAACCCTATTTTTCAACACTGGGTCTTCTTCAAAAGGCATATTTTTCCTGAAAATGTCAGTCCTCCACCCTAACCCAACTACACTGCATATGCTCAGTTCAGAGTGCGGACTATTTATCCCAAGGAGTTTCTTCCTGCAGCCTGGGCTTCTGTGTCTCTGACTCTTGATCCAATTTGTTGTTCCTGCACATTCAGGGGACCCAGAAGAGTTCAAGTTGGAATCTGGACCTGCATGGGCAATAGAAGAGTCAAATTCTTCCACACTGGCAGGCTCTTGGCTCCCAAAGTCTCCAATTTTCCTCTGGCTGGCTCCTTCTGGTCCCCAGAGAATGAGTTTCTGTATAAATCAAGGGCACATTTGTCTCAAATTTGGCAAGAGACTTCCCCACAGATGGGGAATTCAGGTTTTAAAAGAGTACAGTACAACTTCAGCAAGGTTTATGAAAATTAGCACCCATTAACTCCCCATAACCCAAGACTCCTTATGACAGTAGTTCTTAAACAGTTTGACCCAATTACCCCCTTTCCTGCTCTTGAATACTGAAATGTCATTACCTCCACAAAAAAAAAAAAAAACTACAGAATGATCTTTTACATAAGTGTCTCAGCAATGGCAGTCCCAAACTAGATCCTCAGCTCCCAAACAAGCAATTACAGATTGCTCCATTACCCCCAGGATATGCCCAAATTATCCCCAGTTTAAGAACCCCTGCCCTATGACATCAGCTAGAATATTTTTGTAGTCTTATTTCAAGTTGCATTCAGGCCAGTAATAGTTATCAACTTTATTGTTTCTTGTTCATGTAAGGCTGCCATACTGTGTCACACCAAACCATACAACCAATCACACGGGCTAAAATATGGTTGAGTAATTTAATGTTTACTGTAGCAGGAAAATACTGCGCTCAGAGAGTGATAAGACTGGCAATTCTGTTGCTTACAGCAGGGATAAGAAATATGTAGCTCTCCAAGTGACTTACAATTCCCCACTGCCTCACCACAGTGGCAAGTGATGAAGGAAGCTGGGAGTTGTAGTTTGAAGGACCTCATATTCCCTGTCCCTGCAATACAGAATAAGACAATTGTTTCTGGTGATCTGTTATTATTTATTTATTTATTTATTTATTTATTAATCACATTTATATGGTCACCCTCACAAAAAGTGACTCTCGGCAGTGTTTATAATGCTCCCATCCCAAGAACCTCCCATCTCAAGAACTCCCAAGTTCTGCTATTTATTACATGTATAACCTGTTGTTCTTCCTTTTAGACTATTCATTAATAAGAATCATCTACTGCTGAGAAATATTTTACAATTCTGCTATTTAATTGTAAACATATTTTACAATTCTGCAGAAAGGCCCTTTGAAAAACCTGTGCATCACTGGGAGTCTACTGTAGGTCTAAAATTACAAACACAGGAAATTAAATGTTAAACTAGTTGAAAATAGCCAGAAGAATCAGAATCAAATTAACCCAAAGAACAGCACACACAACTGAAGCACCACTTTTCTGCATTACACTGCATTGCATTGCATTTCTATCCCACCTTTACTTTTCACAACTCAAGGCAGTATATCTAATGCTCCTACCTCCTGTTTTTCCCACAACAATCCTGTAAGGTGTTTGGGCTGAGAGAAAGTGACTGGCCCAAAATCACCTGTCTGGGTTCTGTTTCTAAGGGAGGACTAGAATTCACAGTCTCCCAGTTTCTAGTGCAGCACCTTAATCACTACATAAAAAATGCCAGTCAAAAGGTGTAAACTTCAAAAGGTCTCCTGAACAGAGTTTACCAAACCACTTGAATGGATTTGGGGCAAATGAGGCACAGCACTCATCCTGACTCACTGTCTTATCAGATAGATGATAGTCAACCTTTCAAGTTCTCCACCAACATAAGCATGTGAGATAAACTCTGCTAGAACAGATCAAAGGCTTCTGGCATCAAGTATTGGTGAACCCAATGCCTCTGAAAAGCTGCAAAGAGAACATAAGGCCATTACCCTCCAGCTATTGGTTCCCAATGACTAGTATTTAGAGATTTGCTGTTTTTAATCCTGCAGGTAGCATACAGCCATAGTAATAGTCTCATTCACCATGAATTTGTCTAATCCCATTTTAAGCCATCCAAGCTGGCGGTGATCACCACATCTTATAATAATGACTTCAACTATGAGTTTGGTGAAGAAGTTGGGGGCTTCTCTGTACCACTTCTTTACTGGCAAAATATTTTATTTTCCAGCTTCTGATATATTGGCCATCCATATTGGAAGTAGAAATGATGTTCTCACTGAGATGCAAAAGTCATGGGAAAACCAATGGAATAGGCTGGAGAGACAATAAAATCCTATATGGTAAAGATGCTAGGGAGACAAGGGACCATATATAGTTGCATAGACCCAGAGCTAGCTCTGCAGTGAAAATTACCTCTGTTCCAATAATCAAGGTAAGACAAGGTTGAGGCATTTACTATATGTAAACGGTTGTCAGGCTCAGCCCAAGAACAACGATGACACAGCTCAGTCCAGTATAGTTCCTTTATTTGCTTACACCCTAAAGACAGAATCTCGCCAGACTAAATCTATGCTAAAGCAACAAGTGGATATACCCCGTGAGACTCTAGGGAAGGGCTAGTCTCAGCTTCTTCATCTTCTCATGGTCCTGCTGTGGGCTGAGGGAGGGTTTGCCCTGTAACCTCTCCTGGAATGCTCCCCCTCCCTCCTGATAGCCTTGATCTTCCATTCCAGTATCCTCCTCACACATGCCTTCCATTACAGCAGTCTTGCATGTGCTCCTATTTCCACATGCTGATTTCAAATGCCATCAAATCATGGCAGATTTCTCCAACTTGGTGTCTCCATGTGTTGGACTACAATTCCTATTACCAACAGCCTTTATGGCCGTGGGCCATGCTAGGAGGAATGATGGCAGCTATCATCAACTATATTGGAGAACACAGCATTGGGAAAGGCTGCAGTTTAGGGTATTGATCATCTAATGCCATGACTAGTCTCCTTGAAAGGCATCTATGAGACAGTTAAAGCAGGTCAAAGTTTCTCCAAAGCCTCTTTTTACTATTACTATTACAGTTTTATGTACAGTACTGCAGTTTTTCTTATCTCTTTTCTAGATTAGCACTTTAAATTTTCAATCTTTTGCTGATCCTTTTTTTTTTTTAATAAATCAATGTGACTCAGAAAAGAAACAAAGGCACTTTAGAGGAGGATGCAGTGGTAAGATTAACCTTTCCTCGGCCTCTCCTTGGAAAAGAAACTCAAGAGAAGAGAAGCTCTGAACTTTTACAGTGCAAAAGGATCCCACCTCTCCACCATGAGAAGGGGCCACAATTTTTAATTAGTACCCCCTTACTGGCCTGCTGTTTCTGCATAAACGTAGCCCCATCAGCTGGAGTAAATAAACAGCCAGGCAGTGAGAGACAATAGGCCTTGGCGATGAATTAATAAACTCTGCCTCTTGCATTAGCAGAGTGTGACTGGAACTGGCAGGGGTCCCTGGCTGGGCTCCAGAAACCATTATTGCGAGACAGAGCCAAAGGAGACTTGGCACAAAGCAGGGCCCACAGCTGGAGATTAGGTAACAGAGTCAGAGCACTCAGAGAGCTGCCAGGGTGTTGGCCATTGTGGCTAAGAGAGGGTCAAAATTCTGTTTCTGAAGCTCAGAGCTGCACACACACAAAATCTCCATAAAGTACAGCATATAGACTGTAGTCCTTCCTTCCACCCACCCACCCATCTGTTCTCCCCCAAAATATAGTCTCCATACAGACTTGCTCACTCCTTGGCACTCTGTCTTAATTATTCCCCCTCTTAAGTAGAATGGGACTGTCAGGTCCATCTTCTGGCAACCAGAAAAGTACTTCGTGATATGTTGGATTATTATTATGGAGTTGCCAGGAAAATGATATATTATAGCAGTATTCCCAGGGTGGGTCAGTAGAACAATTTATAACTCTTTGTGACCACTGTAACCAAAATTCACATCTGAGAAAGTGAAAATAATTATTTTATAATGTTTTCTAAAGGTAGGTGGTTCCATCCTGAAGCCACCATATGAACGTACTCCTGCCATGCACATCCACTAATAAAGTTAACTCCCTATAGAGATTGCTGTGAAGCATGAAGGGGTTGACATTTTTGTGGTGAATACCAGGACAATACATTTTCCCACCCCCATTCCATAATTGTGGAGTGCAAAATTTCTCTCCTCTGATGAAACTTGTTCCCTTGTAGGAGACAAATTATTGTCCCCATGGCCCCGTGTTCATTTTTCTTGTAATATAGAACAAAGAGTGCAAAGGTTGGTAGCGTCATCATAAGAAAATAAAGGCTTATTTTTAGGATTTAGGTTAAACGTCATACTGCAATGCAACATGCATGCAACCACATGCATGAACAGCTTGGCAGCAGCTTCAGCCCTACACATTGTCTTTTCTGAAAAGCTACATTTGCAGCAGAAAAGTGGCAGGGAGATGGGATACTTAAAGTTTCCTTTTTTCTGCTGTTCCCCCTCTGAAACTCCACTCCCAATATCTTCGGTCTATATAGATCTTTGTCTAGCTAGGTGACCACACCTAGCCAACCTTGGCAGATCTTGGAAAACTAAGCAGAGATGGCTCTGTTTAGTGCTTGGATGAGAGACCAACAGGGAATATCAGAGAGGTAAGCTGAAGTAGGAAGTCTGTCCTGTTTCTGTCCTGTTGTTAATATTTGTGTTGATAAAGTTGCTAAGAGAAGGTCAGTTCTAAGGAGACTTCTTTTAAAAGAACCATATTTGCTTAAAGAAGCCAATGGAAGACAGGATAAAGCAACCAAGGAGGCATTCAATGGAAGAATTCCGGGAACTTGGTCGTGCGTTTAAAAGCATCTTGCCTTGCTCCCTGCACATTTTCTCAAGGATACTTTGCAGCAGAGATGACTGTCAGACACACTATATACAGTTGCATGGTCATAGGTGACCACGGAGTTTGCACCGGTGCCACTTTTTGTAATTCTGTGGACATAGAAAATATCCACTTCTTCTGAACTATTAAGTACATAGAAACCTTGTCCAGTTTTGTCACATGTGATTCTTAATGCTCAATATTTCCTCCCCAACTGTTTTTTTTTCTACTTGAAAGTTAAAAATTGATAATCTTTTATTCAGAGTAGGAAATTTGGCAATGTATAGTTATCATTTGCATTTCATTGAGGTCAGTGACAAAACACCTATCTTTTATCTAGCTTTCTGAGTGGGAGTTATGTGGTTATGGCTTGTATTCAAAGGAGCCTGTAAAATATTCCTTTTTTAAATTGGGAAGGCAGGAAGGATCAATCTGTATCTTCTCAGGTGTGCTGCAGAAATATTAATTTTTTTGGAAACAAAAGTAGTGAAGTTCTATATTCACAGTGAAACATTACATGAGAAATATCCTTTTGCTCGCCAATTTGGCTTGAATTTGAGCACTTGGCTTAATACCTTGAGAAAGAAGAAATATTGTGTTGATTTGCAGTGATCTTGCCTGCCATAGCTGAAAAATTATCATCAGAAGGAACAGCCTTTTAGAAACGGAGCCATAAATATGGATGAAGTGAGAATGGACCAGGAATCATCAACAGAACATATGCATACAGACACAGAAGAAAGGAAAAACAACTGAATACAATGTTTCTGGTGAGAATTCTTTTATAAAGAAATAAATAAATATAGAATAAACCAGTTTCTTATTAAAATGACAAGGCAGAGCTTAGAAGAAGTAAAACGTACTTTTACCCATTTTCAGTGAGTCATCTTTAGAATCCCTTTTAATGGCACTCCAAATTAGAAATGTGAAGTACAACCCTAATGAGTTCCATCTGCAGGAAAAGCACCTTCTTTCCTTGGCTGCTGTACTCATTCTGCTGGTGGCTGCAGAGCTCCAAAACACATGTCTCCTCCCACACCTGTGTCAAGGTTGCAGCTTTACTGGCAACGCTGCTGGGCTGACGCTGGGGAAGAGGCTCAGAGGGGAGGGAAAGAAGGCAGCACAGGGGCCTGCGATTTTGCTAGGCGGCCTGCTCTTCCACAGTATTTGTACTTATACTGCTTTCCGTAAAGTAGTGTACAAAGTGATTAACAACAATAACGTTCGCAAGAGAAAATAACGTCTGATGTAAAACTAACTGATTATCTTATATGCCATTTCTCAGCATGAGAAATAACTGGCATGTGATGAAAAAGGCTGACATGGCCACTTGCTGTAATATAAAAGAATTACAGTAAGTGACTTTGGCGTGGAAAGTGACCACATTATTTGCCCAATAGGATATTTTAAGATTCCAGGAAGGGAAACATCTTCAGAGCAAATTAAAAACATAGCTTTTACAGTAGCTTTTTTAATGCCCACAATTAAAAGATACACGTGTTTGTAAAAAATTGCATCTTTAGTTATATGTGCCATTTAATTGTTGATAATTCATCAGGGCTCCAATCTTTTGCTCACATTCCTGGCAGTATGTCCTGTTGAATGCAACAGTTTTGATTAGTACAGAGTTGGGCAAAAGGCAGAACACTCATCACCTTTCACTGATTTCAGATCAATCACTATGGATTTCTGATCCCCAGTTTGGTAATAGCTGCAGCAAACTGAGTACCCTCCTGCCATTAATTATGCTCTTGAAATGAAGAAAGGTTGGAAGAACCAGCAATGGAGTAGTGTATGGATGGGCTGGGGACACTTTCTAGTTCTCATACCCAAAACAAATTCCAGATCCCAACATTCTTTCATCCTAAGCATTTCCACTAAACTCCCCTCTTAGGTACATCAGCCACATTGTGATTGTTAAGGTGACGAGGCTACCAACGAATATGGACTCAACCACCATTACTACTGCCAACTTACCTTGTTGCCTCTAGCAATATGGAAAATATGACATAACACGTAGCAACATCATAATTTAAGATCAAAAATCCCATCATATATAACATACAGTGTGGAGTGTCATTATCTTTCCAGTTTGCCATAGTTCGTTCTAGTTAAAAAAAAACAAAGTAGGTCTGCCAAACCTGAAATCTACCTCTTTCCTGATTTTAGAAAAGAGCAGACTGAATCCAGCTGCCAACTAGGAGGTGCTATCACTGTGATTCCCCTGCACTCACCAGCACCCTCTGGAATAAAGCTGAAGATGGGGTGGGACTGCAAAGAAGGAAGGAGAAGCTGAGTTGCATTCTGCAAGGGAAGGTCTGTTTGCATAACCATGTGACAATTTTAAAAAGTCCAGAATAAAAGCAGCAACTGAAAAGTAATAAACCAAGGGATGTGCTGAGCTTTGCACTCCAAACACATCTTTTTTCTGGGACCACAGTGAAGTTGCAAAGGGCAGCTGTGCCATCCCCAGAAAAGATGCAGCTTTTCAAAGACGTTTTAGTCTGATGTTCTGTGAGCGCCCCTGTGTGCTCTAAAGCACATTTTTGCTTTCAAAAACAAAACAAAAAAACCCCTACACAGACCCTTTTTTCTTGCACATATATGTGAGAAACTACTCTTGAGCATACCATGTCTGAACTAAAGAAATCTGGGCAACCACTAGATGGTAGCAAAGAGAATTTTCTCCAACACTTTGCTGCCCAGGTACTGGTCATCTGGATTTTTGCAGCCTAGACCAGCTATGCCTATTTGAGCAATGGTGTGGCCACATCACTTGTGTACTGTATCTGTACTGTATCCCTACAGTTCCAAAGATACTATTCATTCTAAACAGATGTTTAAACAGAAGATTATTTCTCAACCTTGGTTTTAATATGGGGAAATAAAGAGAGGAAATCTTATAAATCTCTGTGCTGTCATGAAATTTCTACCACTTGTGGGATTGACCAGGCTTCCAAAGTTTTCACAGCACTGAACCAATCCTTAAGCACCTAAGTCAGAGCAACAATTTTTCCATCCAGCCATTTCTTGCTTACTTCTACAGTACTTAAACAACCTATGTTCCATCTTTGGTTTCCATTTCTGCCACCCTAAATCCAATGTGATTTTTTTTCATACTTCCCATAATTTCCCTCCATTCACCTTCTTTCATAATTCACCAGCTTCTTCCTACCTTTATTATTGCTCATTCTTCCTAATGAGTCTTCAATAGACTCTATAGATTTCTCTCCTACATTTTCATAAGAATAAGGTTTGATGCGTGGGCTGTTACCTATGTTAACTTTTGCTCCATATTTCTGATTGCACAGGGCAGACTTTCTGAAGCCACCAAGTGTTTCCTAAAGCTACTACTATATCTTAAGGAACATACATGTTGATTTTGTATTTATACTGTTATCTATGAATGCTGCTGAATGTTGCGAATTTTAAATTAAGTTTAATTATTACCATTAGATCTTCTCAGATAGTTTGTTAGTATAGCTTAAATGTATTGAGCCACCTTTTAATCCAGGAAAAAAAAAGTTTTGTTGCTGTTGCCTATACAGTAATAAATGTTTGTGTGGTAAAGGTTCAATACAATCATTTTAAAATTGGCAAGGCTTGATTTCTGTTTCACACACAAAAAATATTTAGCCATCTATGTATTTCTCATATAATTACCTATTTAAATATAAAGGTCTTCTCAATCAGAATTTATCTGAGCTGTTGTTCTACTTGACTCATAAAGAGTCCAAATGACAGCAATTTATTCTTAACTAGGTTTACATGGAAGTAAGCCCTAATAATTTAAATAGGATTTGTTTCCAAGCAAGAATGCTTAGACTTGCAGGATGGTGCTGCAATTCGAACAGGCATACTCAAGTAGGTCTTTCTTCTGAGTAAATATGCACAGGATCAATTCTTGAAATTATCCCTAATATGTAAGTAAGAGAAGAAGTTATTTTATTATGCTCAGCAGAGTGTCCTTTCCAGCTTTGTTCCTCTTTTATGAAATGGGGCATGTGTTACTTAACAGTGCAAACCGAAGAAAAAACATTTTGTGGAATATGAAAATGGGAAGAGTAGATGAAACATTTTGAAGGGTTTGAATCCAGGGTTCCAAAGTAAACAAAGGGGTCAAACAACCTTTCAGCCTGACTTCTTTTTTTCCCTGAGACATTAAGAAAAACATTTCAGAAAACAATGCGTGCTGATGCTAATGTAACCTCCCTCATGGCCTAGTTCCTGCCAAGAGCAATATTTCAGTGGCTAAAAGGTGGGGGTTGAAGAGGGTGAGGGAGAATAAGCCTGGGGCTAGTAGATCAGGGTTGCAAAAATTTCAGATGACCACTGGAAGTGGGAACAAAGAGTTTTGTTTTCTCTCTTTGCTGCCATCTGATGGTGGTCGGTATTTTTACATCCAGATCTGGCAGCTCTAAGAAAATGATTGAGGGCATTTTTCCTTAGATGGATTTTTATTACAAAAATAAAACTACCATTTCTAAATTCTCTACCCCACTTTAACAGCACATAAGTATGTCCTTCCTCCCCACCCCCCACAAAAACATAAACACATCCCACAGAAGGTTTCCAAAGCAGTTTTCAGGATCATTGTGAACATGCCCAAAGCAAATACTTGCTTTCATTCATGAATGGCCACCTGTGACTCAAAGAGGTCAGAGGTCAGGAAGCCGTAAGCACAGCTTAATACGAAATGATTTATTCATATGGGTACCTGTGAGGGAGTATAATAAGTTGAATTCACAGAGAATTCATGGTAGCCGAACAAGAGGATAAGGAAACTATACTGTATGCAGTTCTTAGGGATAAAACATATTTGTATCAGAGTGGACCAGTTTAGTTTTTCTTCAGTAATTGTACTAGACATGGATTTTGGAAAAGCTGCTTGTTTTGGCAAAGTGAAACATAAATGTGCATATTCTCCAAAGGGATGTTTTTTAAAGAGCAGAAAGATAGCAAAAGCTCCAGAGGCATGTTTCTTCTGTCAACGTAGAGTCAAAGCGATGGGAAAATCCCTATTTGCTTAATAATGCTTTTTGTAGAAGCTGTTATGGGATAGATTTCCTTTGTTGAATTAAAACCCATCTATCCTGGACCTAAGCAAATCTAGCCATAAAATGTTACTTAGGGTGATATACCAAAATCTCTTAGTATATAAGATTAATCACATGTTGGAAAGGGCCAAATTTTAACAACAGGAGGAGACAGAGGAAGCTTCTGAGGCCATTTAGTAACACCAGTTGCCCCACAGAGGACAACAGCAGCAGCTTTGGTGTGCCATTTCCAGCTGCTAAAGAAATCAAGAGATTTGCGGGTTGGATCTGCTCTGGAAATCGTTTAAATACATCTGAAACATTTTCTGGAACTAATCTTTGGACTGTTTCCCTGTTATAAATACATTAGCAAAATGTCCAACAAGTGTGCAGTGCTGCCTCTTCTCCGTACCTGGAGTTTTCACAGTGGCTTTGGTACTTCTACACCAGGCCAGCTACTCCTAACGTTCTCCCATTGGTCTTCCTCTATAAGCTAAATATGGAATTGCAATTACCTTTCCAGTCTTCTGGGGGTATAACTCTGAGTGTATATTCTTTTTCTGTCTTTCTGGATTAAGGGGATTAATGGCTATTAGCCTTGATGACAGTGGGGCTGCCTCTGAAGGCCATCTGCTGGCAGACTAATGAGCTGGTAGGACAGACTGCTTGACTTGATGGGCCAGGGATCTGATCCACCAGGGCACTGCTTATGTTCTTATGTTCTTAAAGGTGTGTGTGTGTGTGAGGCACACCCATGATGGGGAAGGGAAGGAATCATCCACCTGAGCGTATCATTTTTAATTTCATTGGTACTTAAACATCAGTACCAATGAAATTAAAAATGATACGCTCAGGTGGATGATTCCTTCCCTTCCCCATCATGGGTGTGCTTGGAATGAAAGTGCTTGTTAGTTGAACAATAAAACTTAAATGATTTC